CAAGGCGCTTGGGGGCGGGCCAGTTCGCTGGCGAACCGGCCCTCCCCCAAGCACCTTGGCCGGCCCACGTCAAGTGCCTGACCTAGGCAGTTGGACTTGGGGCTGGGAGGAGGGCCGGTTTGCCAGCGAATCGGCCCGCGCCAAATGCCCAGCCAGGGCACTTGGACTTGGCATTGGGAGGAGGGCTAGTTCGCCAGCGAACCGGCTCCTACGCCAAGTCCACGCCCCAAAGTCCTCGCTTCTTATGCATTTTTAATTTATATTATTTTCAGAAACGAAAGCAATTACAAAAGGAGAAGGATGTTGGATCAAAGAGAAGACATGAGGAAGATGAGATCCAAGACGACAATCAAGTTGACCTTTAGATAGAGATTTCCATAGCGACAACTCTGCCGTCTTCACAACCAGATAGCTCTAGTCCACATGCACCCCCATTTTTGCCACCACCACCATCGATACCACCACCACCATTACCACTACCACCACCACCATTACCACTGCCACCACCATTGCCACCTCTACCTTCATCACCACCATTACCACCACCGTCATCACCACCATTACCACCAATGCCATCATCGCCATTATTACCACCACTACCACCACCATCATCACCACCAGCAGCGCGATTGTCGTCACTACCATTGCAGCCACAACCACAAATGCCACTACTCTTAACATATTCACAAAATATGGCAGAAACTAACTACATTACAAAGTAGTGCCCAAGTGCGCCTGACGGGGGTGTTAGGCCCAAGCTGAGGGCTAGATCTGATAATGGTGCTACTGGAGGTGTAGCTGAATCTGAAAGAGAAGTGGAGTTACTTAAACACATTGTAGACAAGTGCTTCCAAGAGACAGTTTTGAGAACCAAAGAAAAGGCCATTCACACGACTCTAGAGTTTCTCAAGTGGGAAGGCCCGGGAGACATAATCCGAGAAATCCCATTATGTCTATTCACTCAGACAAGCATCATTCGGTCTGCTTCACCACACTTCATCAACATGAACATCTATAGTCTGTACAAACATAATGGCCTTGGGACAAACATAGGTATGTTCCTTGTTTGGGTCTTCAAGCCAGGAACGACAAATACCCTCTCGGTGTCACCAGAAATCGAGAGGGTTTGGGATGACATTTGGAAAATGAAGTCCCGCAAATTTTACAACATGCTTATGAGCCATCTTGAGACTCAACAATTTGTGGGGAAAATGTTCTACATTATCGACGGGAATCATCGCTGGTGTGCGTAGATAAAGTGCATCAATGAATGCTTCCGAGACAATCCTATCTATCACATCAATGTTCCGGTTGGACATGTACATACGAGAGGATCTCTAGATGTGGCAAAGCTTGTGATAGCTTGCCACAAAATTAATGCATAGGTACCACTCCCTCTTCAATCACTTTTAACAATTTGTGTTTTGCAAGTTAGGATAATTTGTAGTGCAGAAACGAAGCCTAGTACATGATATTGAGCAAATCTGGTTTCTTGCTAATCTCAACGAGGATGCAGTCTGCAGCCATTATGGTGATGATTTAGCATTACTTATTCGGCATCATCGAGGTCGTCAAGATGCCAATAGATGGTACAAGAATCCAATGGCTTTTATAACAGCTGTGTCTAGCACCTTTTATAGGGGATGATCTTGAGCAATTTCCATTCAAGGACTTCATCACCACTAAGCTTATAAAACTCGGAGAGGACTGGCTGCCAAAGAAGGCCACAAGCACGACTCCATTTGATAAACAACTTGGCCAACTTTATTTCATGCGTCGAGCGGCTTTTAGGTAACATACAATTTCTCAACTATACTCAATTTGTTTATATTCTATTATAGGTATCTCTAATATAGAGGTGTTCCTCTCGAAACACCGGTATGCACACGACTCCTGAGGCATGGTGTGAGAGATGGAGGCATGTACCCGACAACAATGAAGTTTCCAGTGGCAATAAAGCAAGCTTGTCCTTGGGAATTAGAGATGCCAGATTATACACCAACCCACCAAGAGGCTACAAGAGGCAACAATGAAGACATGCCGAATGACAAAGATGATGGCCATGAGAATGTCAACACTGTTGGTGCCAATGGCGAGGAGACTGAAGATGGCGGTCATAATGATTTGAAACTTTAAAATTTTCATATAAAAACTATGAAGTTCTTTATTTTGCCTCATATCTAGAACTGGAAGAGTATCAAGTAAAATTTGAAAAACAATATAAAACTGAGAAACTCTATATTATCCTATAAATTACAAGGATTAACACTGACAAAGAGTCTAAAATTAACATCATTAATCTAGAGGGCACAAAATCCAACTTCTGGACATGTTTTAAGATTGATGTCATGATGGTTAAACACTAAACAACTTAAAAGAGCTAAAGATTGTTCTAGCTATTTGAAAACTTGCCTCAATCTAACCAAGCACCTAGCTTCATTATTTGTTATTCTTTGCATTCAAGTATGCAAAGAAATCAGTAGAATTGAACGATTGGTTCCTCAAGGTATGAAAAAAACAAACCTGGATCAATTCATATATATATATATATATATTTCTCTCTCTCCATTTGACTCATCCTTTCTATAATTTTGCAGACTCGTCAAAAAAGGGGAACTCATTCACCCTGTACCACAACAGAACTTGCAGGGGTGAGCTTTTGAGTGTTCTGAAGCTACTCTCTTGTTTTGACTTCCAGGTTCCTTGGATTCAATTCAGAAAGGCCTGTAGGAAAACGTTTCCCTGTAAAAAGGTCAACAGGTCAAAGGTGCGAATATTCTCTCTACAAAAATCAACAATCCCGCCATTTTCTTCATCGCATCTCCCGAGAATTGGGATAGCTCTCCAGCTTCCACTCGATCTCTGCCCACTTGAGGTGAGATGCATGGACCCTACAAGAAGCCAGCCGTGGACACCACGCTGTTGCATCTCCCGTCAATGTGCTGTTTACCAATCCTGTTCCTTGAACCGAACCTGACTACAAGAATGTCGGAAGCCCTTGAGTTGTTCAGCAACCGTGATCGAGAACAACTCGGCCTGGCAGAAATGCAATGAACTGGCAACGAATTCATATTTCTGAATCGAAATCAGCATGCTGAAAAAGACCAAGACTACAAAGATGACAAAAAGGAGCAAGTAAATCTAAACAACTACAACGATCAGCTGCAAACAGACATGTTAGAAGCCAAGCAGAGAATCAGAGTAATGAAAGAAACTCACCAAACAGATTGCCAGGCAGGATCGCAGAGGATGTCGCGCGCGGATGGACGCTGGTCGCGTCTTGCTGCGACCAGCTCCAACACCTTGGGCGCAATTGATGGGTGTTGGTACGCCCAGTCTGCTGGTAAAACGCCATCCCGGACGTCAATCAATACCGACTCCCTTTCCTACACAGATTCACCAAACTAAGCAAGCACGTTGCACAAACTGCAGCCAAACCTGGTCCGGGGGACACCTCCAATGAAGTTCGAAGAGTATAACTCCAAGCGCAAGCATGTCAGTGTAGGTTGAGTTGCTCCGGCGCTGGGGAGAGTAGTAAACTGCTCTCCCCTTCTTGATATTTTCGGTCTCGAGCATGGACTCCTTATTTTTAGCTGTAAGCCAACAAATGAGAGATGGAAGAGATGTTTCATTTGCCTACCAAGACCGAAATCTCCCAGCTTGATGCGTCCATCGTCTGTGACGAAGATGTTGTGTGGTGCTATATCCCGATGAACACCCACGTTGTCGTGCACATGCGCCACAGCTTGAAGAAGCTGCCTAAACGCATCTGCAGGTGGTGACTCACCGCCGAGGAGCACCGACTGGAGCGAGCGGCCACAAAACTCCATGACAATGTACACTTTCGACTTGCCCGGCTCGCCTTCCTCCTTCCACATGTCGAAGTATTTGACTATGTTGGGGTGTTCGCAGCGCTGGAGCATCTCTCCCTCCTTGAAGACGAGCGCGACATCCTGGTCTCTGGACTTCGTTGCTGTGCGAACCTTGATGACTTTGATGGCGTAGATTTGTTCGTCCTCCTTGCTACGGCACTTGTATACTTTCCCGGACGCCCCCTGGCCAACACAAGCGAGCACTTCGTAGCTGCTGCAGAAGCGGCCTGGACAAGAGAGACAAGGGGCCACTCAGAAGCGAAAAGATGCCAAAGAGAGAAATTATTGTATCCACCTGCTGCTGCAACTGGAGTGTCCCCTCCCTTTTGGATCGATTCCACGATCCCGCTCACAACATTCGCCGAGAGCATCTTGAATCTCTCCAAGCGTTGCGCCATTGCGAGGAATTGCCGAACATATTCTGCAAGTCATGAATCAAACCAGCAAAGAGTCGTGTCAGCCAACAAAAGGAATTCTTCGTACCAGCGTCAGGAGCAGCCTGCAACGCGGATGCATCATGATCAGTTTCTCCTGCTCCTGCTTCAACGAGGATCTTCGTCAGACAAGTGCAGATGTTTCAAGTTTTGACCAACCTGATCGAGCTCGGTTAATCGGATCCAGTGGGCGGGTCCTTTCGAGCATGACGTCGGATCGCTTCTGAGTGTGTAGTTTCTTCGGACCAGCAGCTCTCTTCCTCTCCATGGTGGACTCTGGTCAGTGTTAACATTGTGAGTCGTTGCTGAAAGCACAAAAGAGATTGAGGAGTCGTTACTGCACTTATCCAACGGCTGGAGCCTAGAATGCGCACATCAGCTGTCCGTCAATGGATTCACAACAAACTTGCTACAATTGCATGCTCACCTCCTTCCGCCTCGCCAACAGTAGGCCGCAAACCAGCAGCGCACTCACCTCTGCCCTTGCCAGACGATCACGGCAGCCCTAGATTTGGAATCTAAGCTGCATTGAGGATCGACGCGCTCCTCCGGCTCCCTTGGGCTTTGCCAATAGTAGGGTACAAGAATACAAAAAGGCCACGTCGGATAGAGTTTAGGGCAGACGTGGCACCTTTGGTCACCTTTTGTGGCCCTTCTACATTTCCACGGAATACGAGTCATTTTTTAGGGTATCATGAAGAAGACACTCATTCTTGATCTAGACAATACACTGGTATACGCTCATAAGGATCTCGTCTCTTCTGTGAGTTTCAGCATGGAATTCGACGATGATGCACCACTCCACATCATGAAGAGACCAGGCGTAGATGAATTTCTGGGGAAGGTTTCAAAAGTGTACGATATCGTGGTGTTTAGTGCCGCCCAGGAGAAGTATGTCAACCTTGTGGTTGACCATCTGGATCCTACTGGGGGGCTTGTGTCGAGGAGGCTACATGGTGGCAATTGCGTTGTTCTAAAGGACGGGACGAAAGTCAAGAATCTTGACCATGTAGGGTTTCGGGATTTCAAGCGGGTGGTGGCACTGGATGACATTATTGACTTCTACCAAGGTCATCAAGAGAGCGTGGTGGTGGCTCCAAAGTTTGAGGGGTCAAAGGATGACCACTTCTTGGCAGATGTAACCCCGTTCCTTCTTGCGCTGTCAAAGTGTGTGGATTTTACCAAAGTTACCCATCGCTGGAATATTGGACAATGTGTGGAGAAGCAAGGCAAATTGTACGTCCTAGATCCATTCGATGATGAATGGGTTGTTTTTAACTGATTATTGTATTTTGTAGTAAATGTTATAATTTTTCTGCCAAAGTGTAGTTTATGCGAATAAATCTTAGTGAACTTTTGAGCTCAGGATTTCCTACATGTCTCATGTAAAACAAAATGGTAAAACAAGAAAAACAGCACACCAAAATTTCAAGCTCTTTTGCCAAGGAAATCCCCTTTACATTGAGAGCCCACAGCTTTGCAACACCCCATGAACACCAATAGGAGCACGTGCCCACCTCAAACAACAAGCGAGACTTCAAAAAGGACATCACTGATCCAACATTTGATGCCGGAGGATAAGATGCTTAGAAGACTGATTGCTTCTGAGTTCCTTTATGTCTGTTGTTTAGTGCCTATGTGAAGCTATTGACAAAAAATGTGATGATCCATATGAAGCTCTTCACAGGATCATGGAGAGAGAGAGTGTGTCTTTGCCATGACATCCAGCGAAGTAGCAAGAGGAGTGATCGCGGTGCCTCCTGCAGGCATCTCCACGCCAAATCGCGACTCTTCTGCGCCAATGTGGTGATTCCAACTCCCTCCCGCGAGGGAAGCTCTTGCACCGCCGCCTGGCCGCCACCCTCATTGCTCCATTGCTTCATTCTATGGTCTCCATTGCTTCATTCTATGGGCCAGCAGAAGATAGTCACATTGCTCTGCTGGCGCAGCTGGTCGCTGACGAAGCGCCTGCTTGCTTCAAAGATAGCGTCTATGGAAATTACCTTCAATCGTTCTACGCTTCAAAACTAGATGGCAAAGCAGCCATTGAGACTGTGAGGTATTAAACTTTGTCTGCGTCTCGTTTAGGTTATGGTCATCCCACTCATTTCCATCCCTCCCTTAGCCATACATCTGTGGGTTGTTGATGCAATAGCTAATGCAGAGGGTCTCAATCTTTCATACAGCCGCCTTGCTCTATTGATTTGATCCAACATAGAAAACTGGTGACATGCCAGAAAGAAAAGAAGTATACATGTAACGAAACAAATCAAGGAATTCTTTTCTGCTTTCTTTCCTTCTGGCAAGTCAATAATTTTCAGCTGGATCGAACCAACAAAGCAAGGTGGGAGATGTCTGAAGTTCTTAGAAAGATTGAAATTGTTGGCGGAGGTGCAACTTAATGAAACGTACCACATGTTCTAATTGTCTTGCTCTCATTCGATGAGCAGACTAGTATGAAGAAAGGATGACAAAAACCTCCTGTTGTTTACGAAGTTCTTGGTATTGTCATGTATGGCTCGCAAAAGCACAGAAAGCTTCAAGACTTGACCTTCCTGCTTGATTTCTTTAAAGCACTGCATGGCACAGACTACAAACAAAGATTTAAGACTGGTTTAAATTATGAGATCAAGATTTACCTTCAAAGTGCTTGCAAGAGCTACAATGCAGCCAACCACGGCCAACAGTAACTGCTTCTCGTCCGAAATAGAAGTTTCAGAAATAAACCATGCTAGGATGTTCAGGCTATGTACTTGTACAGGCGTAGTGCTATCTGGTATTAGTGTTAGTGACGACAAGTAAAACACTGAGCTTTCCAAAAGAAAAGAAACAGCATCGGGAGTATGCCCAAGGAGAATTAACAGTAAACTTCCCGGAAAGTTTTGCGAAAATAAGATAAATACTATCACGAACCTGCAATAGAGAAGATTAGTATTTCTTCTCGATGGAATTTTATTATGTTGGAGTCCAAGAACGAGATGATCCTACACAATACAAGAAGTTTCCCCAGACGTAGATACTGGTCAGCACCGAACTGAGATACATAATCAACCTAAATTATGCACAGATGAAAAAAAATTCAAGAGTATCAGTGTTAGTTGCGATTGCTGACACTCCTCACAAAGAAATGGAACGTATTTCTTTAATAACTGCTCTGGGTTTCCTAGCTGGTTAATTTCTTGCGTTGGAAGTCACGAAGGCTCAACATTTTGGAGTTGTCAGATATCATAGCTGCTTCTAGCATTAAATCAGTTAGAATGTGATCCTGCACTGCAATTTATAGTTCACGTCGGTATACCACACATCTTGAACAAAATAGCTCGGGAGATGCAACAGCGTGGTGTCCACGGCTGGCTTCTTGTAGGATCCATGCATCTCATCTCAAGTGGGCAGAGATCAAGTGGAAGCTGGAGAGCTATCCCAATTCTTGGGAGATGTGATGAAGAAAATGGCGGGATTGTTGATTTTTGTAGAGAGAATATCTGCACCTTTGTGAAACGTTTTCCTACAGGCCTTTCGAATCCACAGAACCTGGAAGTCAAAACAAGAGAGAGTAGCTTCAGAACATTTAAAAGCTCACCCCTGCAAGTTCTGTTGTGGTACAGAGTGAATGAGTTTCTTTTTGCCTATGGGAACCTCAAAGCCAATGCCAAGTACCTTTTTTGACAACTCTGCAAAATCATAGAAAGAAAGAAACAAATGAAGAGAGAGAGAGAGAGAGAGAGAGAGGAATTGATCCATCAATTTTATCTGTCTAGGTTTCTAGTTTCTTCCATACCTTGAGGAACCAATTGTTAAATTCCATTGAGTACTACTCCTCTTTTTAAATAATTTGTTGTGCTATTTAAAATATACTACTCTTTTTAAATTTCTTTTGTGCTATCTAAAATATATCACAATGTGTGAGGGCCAAGTGTACAGTTATGATGCCGTATACTAATATTAGCATAGTGGGATTTTGGTAGCCATCGGATTGGTTTTAATTTGGACCACTCGCTCCAGTATATAAGCTAGGGTTTTTGGGCTAATTGATATGCACATTTCTGTATTCCCTTTCCATATTCTAAGCACTCACATTGGTGGAGGTAAGGGGCATCTTTGATTGTCCCTAAGGAGTGCTTGGATTTGGGATTTTGGTTTAGATCTAGCTTTTGCATCGTCTAGATCTAGCTTTTTCCATTTCCTGTCTTTTGTTCTTTCTATTCATGGTTTTGGTTTAGATTTAGCTTTTTGCGTTGTCTAGATCTACCATTTCCTTCTAGCTTTTTGTCATTTCTCTTCTTTTGCTCTTTCTTTTTCGTTCATCTTCATGGCAAATCAGCAATCTCCTCCTTTGACTCTAGAGTAGCAATTGGTACAATTGCTTGATGCTATGCGCTTGCAGTTGAACAACCAAACTCAGTTGATGGCGGCATTCACGGCACGTGGTACAACTCCTCCTGCTCTTGGTGCCAATCCTCGCGTTTGGCCGGAGTTCTTTTGCAGGAATCCTAGGGATGATGTGTACCATTGGTTCGATCACTTCACGGTGATTGCCACATATCATTCTTGGTATGATGCTCGACGGTTGCGTGAGTTTCCCATGTGTCTCCAAGGGATGGCGTTGCAGTAGTACAATGGTTTGAGCACAGCCACTCGTGGGGATTGGAGTGTTCTCCCGGACGTCTTCAAACGCGCCTTCGGACATGCCGATGATTGTGATGATACTTTCCAACAATTGCATTGTCTTTGCCAAGGGCCATCTGAGTCGGTGATGCAATTTGGCGTTCGTTTCCGAAGTCTTTTGCTTCATGCGGAGCCAAATATGTCGGAGCGGATCAAGCTAGGAATGTTGTGGCCAGCACTTCGTCAAGATCTTGTCGGCCTTATGCATGCACTTGCTCCTGCCACCCTTGACAATGCTCTTCACTTGGCACAACGTTATGAGATGTCGCCTCTTCCACTTCTCGCTGCACGTCCTTCCGCTCCACTTCCTATGAGTGATGGTCCTATTCCAATGGAGGTTGATGCTGCTGCTGCTCGAGTCCAAGGACAAGCGCGAGGACATGGTCGTGGCCGTGATGTTCGCTACTGGGTGTGTGATAAAGTTGGTCATACTTATCGGCATTGCCGTCGTTTTCTGGATTGGCGACCTCCATTTCCTAGGTGGAGACCTTGGCGTCAGCAACATCCCGTGGGTGCTGCTGCAGTGGAAGGTCTGGACACCGAGATGCATCCGGGAAACGAGGAGTCGCGCGAGTAACGGAGGGACCTTGCGCAAATAAATCAGTGACCCCTCCATCTTTCTTTCGGGAGTACCATCAAGGGGTTCACTCGGCACCAGTTCATCCAGTGTTTACTTTCCAAGTTCGTTTTTATAACCAGAGGTCTCCTATTATTCTCTTCGTGTTGGTTGATATAAGTTCGAGTTTATCTTCTATTGCTCGACCTGTTGCCACACGTTGTCGTCTACACTTGCGTCATGTGGCGGAACCATTTTTCATTCTTTATGGCAACGGCTGTACACATGCATGTGCACGGGATGAGGTGGACCTAGTTGTGCGTGTGAGCGATCTTGAGCTTGAGTTGTAGTCGTTGCGGGTGGTGCCAAGTCAAGCTTTTGACCTCATTCTTGGTATGGATTGGTTGCAGCGCAATCATGCCAAATGTGACTTTGAGGCTTCTCCCCTTGTCTTATACTTCTTTATGTTTCATCCATTCCTCTCACTTCCATACCTCTTCGTCCCTCTACTTCTACCTCTATTTCCATTACTTTTGTTCCCCCACTCTTTCCTTTTGTGTTTCCATCTTGTTCTGCTTTTCCCTTTTCCGATCCCTCCGACGATCTTTTGTTGCAGCAGTTGACCGGCTCATGAAGGAGTATTCTGATCTATTTGAATTTGACCTATCGTCTGGGGCCAAGATTGCCACATGTCATCCGATTCCAACTGGGGATGCTCGTCCAATCAAGGTTCCTGTTTGTCGTTGGTCACCTAAGGAGATCAAGATTTTACGAGCAAACGTCAAGGAAATGCTAGAGAAAGGTGTTATTCGGAAGTCACAGAGTCCTTGGGCGAACCTCATCTTGTGACGAAGCCTGATGGGAGTATTCGTTTCTGCATCGACTATCGTCTGTTAAACGAAGTGACGATCCCAGATGTGTATCCTCTTCCACATACTGCTGATCTCTTGGATCGTCTGGGGTGAAGTCGTTGGTTCACCAAGCTAGATCTTCCTTCTGGGTATTGGCAAGTACCGATGGCTGAAGAAGATATTCCTAAGATTGCTTTTCGTACACTATTTGGTTTGTATGAGTTCTTGGTGATGCCGTTTGGTTTGAACAATGCTCCAGCAACTTTCCTATGGATGATGGACGAGGTTCTTTGTGATATGCCGGAGGTGACTGCTGACTTCATTGATGATGTCTTGATCCACTCGGAGGGGACGTGGGAGGAGCACGTTCATGATGTTTGTAAAGTGTTGGATCGGCTACACGACGTTGGTTTAAAGCTGAAGCGGTCAAAGTACGTGTTTGGGTCCAAGGACACAACTTATCTTGGGTACCGTATTTCTCGTGAGGGTTTGCAAGTTGATCCTGACAAAATTGTGGCTGTTCTAAAGTTCCCTACTCCGAAGTGTGTGAATGATGTGCAACGCTTTTTGGGTAAGGTGCAGTATCTTGGTCGTTTTGTGGATCATCTTTCCGATCGCACTACACCATTGCGAGCGTTGCTGAAGTCATCCATGTCATCTTTCATCTGGTCTTCAGATTGTGAGCGGGCGTTCGTGGATCTCAAAGAGCTATTGACGACTCCTCCGGTTTTGGCGTATCCTGACTACACTTGACCTTTTATTTTGCACGTGGATGCTTCTGACATTGGTCTTGGAGGTGTGTTGATGCAAGAGAGCTCAAGTGTGCCTAGTCAGCGCCATCCCATTGCATACATAAGCTGTACATTACAACCAGCGGAGATGAACTACTCCACGACGGAGAAGGAGTGTTTAGCAGCAGTCTGGGGTTTCGAGAAACTTCATGCATATCTACATGGTTCTCGGACGTTACTTGAAGGTGACCATGCT